AGGTCCATTGGACAAATTACTTAGAAAGAATTCAATTTGGAAATGGGAAGAGGAACAAGAAAAGGCATTCGAACAAATTAAGTCGATTCTGAGTTCAGATCTATTATTAACGCATTTTGATCCGCAATTCGAAATTATTGTTACAGCGGATGCTTCCAATTATGGAGTCGGAGCAGTAATCTCCCACAAATATTCGGACGGAAGCGAAAAGGCAATCGAATATGCCAGTAAATCATTAAGTGATTCGGAAAAAAATTATGGACAAATTGAAAAGGAAGCCTTAGCATTAGTATTCGCCGTTCAGAAATTCCATAAAATGTTATTCGGTCGGAAATTCAAATTAAGAACTGACCATAAACCATTACTTGCAATATTCGGAAATAAAAAAGGAATTAAAATTCAAACGGCCTCAAGGTTACAAAGATGGGCATTGATTATGACAAATTATGATTTTCAGATAGAATTCGTCTCTACAGAAAAAATGGGCATGGCAGATAGCCTGTCAAGATTAATTAGCAAAAATTCAGAAAATGAAGATAAGATTATTGCTTTAATCTCAGATTCTAACACATTCGACAGTGGTCCACCCGATGAATTAAATGAAGTTGAGAATTCAGTTAATTACTTATTAAATATTCTATTCGAAGAGTTACCAATCGATAGTAACCAAGTAAAAATCGAGACGGACAATGATATTAAATTAAAAACAGTCATAGATTATATTCGAAATAATAATTGGCCAAAGAAAATTGAAGATTCGGAATTAAAATTTTGGTCAACAAGAAGACAAAACCTTCAGATAATTAATGGTTGTATTCTATTCGCAGATAAAGTCGTTATTCCTGCTAAACTTCAGAAAAAGATTCTTGATTCATTACATTCAACACATTCAGGAGTTGTTAGGATGAAAAATTTGGCCAGAGAATATATTTATTGGCCTGGTATTAGTATCGATATTGAGCAGATCGCTGCAAATTGTGATTCATGCCAAAAGGCATCAAAAAGGCCAATTAAAACAGAATTAAGTCCATGGCCAGCACCAAATAAAGCTTGGGAAAGAATTCATATTGATTTTGCTGGTCCATGTAAGGATGGGAAATTATATATGATTATAGTCGATGCGTATTCTAAATGGCCTGAAATATTCGGAAATACGACTACGTCAGCAAAAGATTCAATAAAAAACCTGGAATGGTTATTCTCGCATTACGGAATTCCTAAAGTAATTGTATCCGATAACGGAAGTCCATTCCAGTCATTCGAATTCAAAAATTATTGTATTAGTAAAGGAATTCACCAAATATTCAGCCCACCATATCATCCTCAGTCTAATGGTCAAGCTGAGAGATTCGTAGATTATTTTAAGAGAATGATGAACAAAAATTGGGGAAAGAGTAATTGGCTACAAGAAGTATTATTGAATTATAGAGCCACCCCACATTATTCATTAGGCGGAAAATCGCCAGCAGAAGTATTCTTAAATAGGAAATTACGAATTCAATTATCATTAATCAAACCAGAAAAACCAGGAAATTCAATTAACATTCAAAGAGAAGATATTCGAAATAAAATGAAAATTTGGTTCGATAAACATCACGGAACCAAATTAAACGTATTCGAAGTGGGAGATAATATTCTATTCGGAAACTACAACAGAAATAAAAAAATTGAATGGCTGCCTGGAAAGATAATTAGTAAAAATGGTGTTGTATTCAAGATTCGCTCAGATAAATTAAGAGCTATTATTCACCGACACGCAAACCAATTAAGAAAGATAAAAAATTTTGAGAACCAACAAGTAGTAAATTTTTGGTGGAGAACTCCAGAACACATTCGGAATAAAAATATTCAAAATATTCCAATTCAAAATGAAAAGAGTACAATTCAAAGTAAAGATAATGAAATTCGATTCGAAAGACCTAAAAGAACAATTCGACCACCAAAAAGATTAGTAGTAGAGAATACTACTCAAAAAAGGTATCGAGAGGAACCAATTCAAATTTTTTCGAAGATGAGATGAGCCGAAGTCCGTTGATGAGAAGAATGAAGACGAAGAGATGAGCGGTATTAGCATGGATGCTTAGGGTTTGAGATAAAATTTTTTTGTTGTGATAATATTTTATTTGTTTGTATTTTTTTGTATTGCCCCTTTTGTAATTATTGTATTTGGCCCCTTTGTATGTATTTTTTGTTGTTTGGAGACATTATTCGGAGGTATTATTTTATTCAAGAGAAAATTATTCTTATTAAAGGAGGGAGGTGTTGGGTATTGGCTTAGTATAAAAGCCTTCCTATTATTCAGTCGCGGTCTTAGTCTATTGTCGCAGTGTTATTTTATTCTATTCTGTCTCCACATATTCGGCATCTTGCCATATTCCTATTGTTCGCCCTTATTGTATATTTAGTATTGTAGATAAAGCACAGTTGTTAGATACTGTCTTTCTTGTTATTCTTTGTTAGTACGTAGACATACAAGTTACGTACATAACAATCTAACAATTTTAGACAAAGTTATGATAGTTTATTTTAGATCTTTACTTAATTATAGTGTCTGCAAAAGTTTCTTCTGATGTGTAGAAATCCATCATCACACCGACACAAAGATAGGGATAGGTCTATGTAACTAGTACAAAAATCAGCGACCGTTGATCACCGCAAAACTTGATCAACGGTGACCATACGCAAACGTGACCATAAGCACAGCGCAGGGTTATTGCACGAACACCAAATCGACATCCATAGGTTTACTTGGTTTATTTTTGTATCGTAACTTTTTCGCAGCTTGTTCAATCATGGTGAGTTTGATATCATTGGACTACATTCGTCGAGCTTTTTCGAATGAGCTGCAATTTGCATATTCGAATTTTTTACCACAAAATTGAGCTTATCTCCTCTATGGTTTTTCGAGTTCCGGTCCTTAGATCTCGGTACTCAGGCTCTTCCGTACTATAAAGTTGGTCGCACCGCGATTGGGGTCCAAAACATTAACATATTTATTGTTTAGATAGTGTGTGGAATTATAATGTGTTGATTCTAAGATTTTTTTAATTTTCAAATTTATAATTATATTTAAAAATTGTGAATATCAGTAAAATTAGATGATTTTCTCAATTTAATATTTTAGTTAAAAACGAGAAATTTCCAATCATTTACAATGACAAAATCATCCAACTTTATTCTTCTTTTACTATTTATACTAATTTCACTTCCAAAAGCAAATGGAGGAGGACGTGGTGGACGTCGTGCAAATCGTGGAGGGCGTAGTGGACCTTCAAGTTCAAGTGGTCTTGGATCATATGTCCGAGAAAGTGGTGCTGGATCCTCAACTTCAGGAAATGTACAAAGGTAAGGGGTATATACAATTGTCATGATTAAACACATCTTTACTTACATTTATTCAAAACTTTTCTAAAGTCGTATAAAAAATTATGGCCACAAACAACTTGGGATATATAAAGGTAGCACTTATACGGAGTCAAGCACGAAGACGGAGTTTGTGGATTCAACTGAAAAAAATTACCAGTATCCTCTCAATAAGCAATTTTTCAATCCGCAATTTTCGCCTTCTGAAATTACAAAAATTTCCGCTCGCGCTAAACAGGGAAATTCTTTACTCTTTTTACTGCAGGCTATTGGAAATTAAAGACAATATGTACGTATTTAAATCATACAATTTTATGAATTTAAAATAATTTAAAAGGCGAAGTTCTATTAAAATAGTATTGATAAAACAATCTTAAATATGATATAGTTAATGTCATTAAAAATTTCTAAATCATTTTTCCTATCTAATTATTCTAATTTTACATTCAAGTTCAAGCGATGAGCATGAAAATCAACTTATTCTTGGAGAATTGATTGAAAAATATAGCACGAAAACTGTTGCTGATTATGATAAATATTACAATTGTAGTGCAAACATTAGAAATGATTTCCATGAAAAGGTTAATAAATCTTAAAAGATTTTTTAGAATAGTATAAGTTTGATATTAGCCACGTAAAACTTTATAGGTATTTGGTTTGGTATAACAGAATTTTAACATTTTCAATTTCCGAAAATTTTGTTCTTATAAATCGATATTTTTAGTGAACCAATTTTTGTAAAATGACCAAGGGTTGTCCGAAATTTGCTAGGGCCGAAGAGTACATTGTGACACCTTAATTCACATTAGAAATACAATGTAGGCGAAAGGGATTGAGGCTGCATCGGGCAAAAAGATCAGGGGCTAGACTTAAAATAACAGTGACATTTATACTATAATAAACTTTTTTAACAACGTGTCATTTCTGATAACAGAACGCAAGTTAAATACATGAGCTAGGTCGAAACCTCTATAGATCGAAATTGAAAATTAAGCAATGAAGTGAAAATCTCCAAATATAAATAACATAAAAATTCTAGAAAAAATACTATCTGCAACTTCTAGATGAGTTCTTATTAAAAGAAGGTAAATCAAAAAATGAACGAAAAATTGCGATAAATAAAATGATTAATGATGAATCGGTAGCGCAAAAAATCGCTAACTTCTGTTATCATCATGTATTCGAAATTGTTACTGAAGTAGAAACTAACGCTCATGTAAGTTTGAGTTTAGATGAGTGTGTCTAGAATTCGGAAAATTTGTGAGTATCGAAGAAAGCGTTTTAATTCTAAAGCTTGAAAATTATACAGTATATTTACCCATTTATTCTAAAATTTGTTATTTTACGTCCAAAATTCCGCCGAATTCAAAAATAAAGAAAAGTTCCGAGAAATCTAGATAAAGCCAAAACTACAGTTTCAAATTTTCGGATACCACCAGACTAACGGTTTTCTATAAAACAGAGCTGTATTTATTTCAATAGGAAGGAAAAATCTAGAAAAATCACTGCGTTGAAAAAATAAAACATCCTTTAAAAGCACTCAACAAAAATCACAAATAAATTTCCTCCACCTTTTAAATTTTATTATGAAATAACATTGTTTATTTATTAAACATCTAAACTCGTTCTAGAATGAAATGATGGAGATTACATTAAACGCAGCTGAAGAACAAGGTCAAACAGAATGTCCAATCTGTCAAAATTTTCTTAGTGATTATGCAGATGATCGTATTGTAACGACAACTTGTATGGGTGAAAACGACTCTCCCAACGACCACTACAAACACTTCTACCATCAGAAATGTATAGTAGGTTGGTTTCACACTGGCCCAATTGGAGCCAATAAAACATGTCCAACTTGTCGTTCTGAACTGAAACTTACTTTCGCTAAAGATGCTGCTAAGATAAATGAGAAGTTGAATAAAATAGGTTGGGGTTTTGAGTATGAATATATTGAGAGGGAAGATTAGTTCAATAAATTCTTTATTTTAGTTGAATTTTTTATTACTAATTTTTCAAAAAAAAATTTTCTTAATGTAAACAATCCGAAAACACAAAACCTTCAAAAACAAAAAAACAAGTAAATTAAGAATCTAAAAAATTCGAAAACCCCTTTATTTAATTCTACAATGTGTTAAGAAATTATAATCCCTCTCGAATTTTTTGTACTTCTCTATGTTCATGTTGTCGGATTGTTTATATTATTTTTTATTATAATTACCTAAAACTAAATTTACTCAATTGACTGAGTAAGAAAAAAGAAAAATTCAAAAAAAAATTTAATAAACTAAAAAATCCACAAAAACAAATTAAAAAATTTACATAATCCTAAAAATTCAAAAAAAATTAAAATACAAAAAAAAACAAACAAAATTTTAAAAAATTGCCAAAAAAAACCAAAAACAAAAAATCCAAAAAAAAATTCCCCAAAAAACTTTTATTTCTTTCTATCTATTTAAAATCTATTTTTCTTTCCTATTTTCATTCTTTTGTAAATTTTAAATATTTAATCTTTTGTATAAAATATTTCGGGGAATTGTTTTGTGTATTTATATATTTACATATTTAAAGTTTGTGGACTAGTAAGAATTTCAAAAATATTGTGTTAGGAAATGGTTATTTTTCGGAGTTATTGGTAAAAATAATACCAAAGATTACCGTTTGGTATTACAATACCGTGCCGAAATTTGAAAAATAAGGAAAGATATGCAAAAATGTTTCAAATGTTAAGTCAGAGGTTATGTCAGGTGTTAAGTCAGATGTTAACTCAAATGTTAAGTCAAAGGTTAGGTCAGGAGTTAAGTCATATGTTAAGTCAGATGCTAAGTATAGGTTAAGTCAAGTGGTAAATCAGTTGTTATCTCCGTCAGTTGTTGTTAACTCCTTTGTTAACACCGTAAATCAGTTGTCAACTCAGTCGATATCTCCGTTTTCATTCTTAATCACGCTAATAATTCCGAATATGACCTTTAATTTATTCAACATCCGCTTATATCTCTGAATTCTAAGGAATCTTATCTCAGATTTAGTCGATTTAATAAGAGAGACAAAAGTTATTTACGTCTGAATCTACCACATGTTGTCCAATTACATGTACGCGAAGCACAGCAATTAAATGACCATCAAATAGAGGTTCGTATGTTGGAATTTTTACTCTACTAAAGGTACCATTAATTTAGCCTTGGTATCTTTGTGACAAATATCTTTGTAATTTTGTGGCCTTTTATTTTAAAGATACACTGCTAAAAATTTTCATTCGTCCTGGAATGAGTGAAAATCTGACCTAAGTAAGTGAAATTTAGCTTAAAATTTTACTGAGCGCCTTCAACTCTATATCCGAGCAATGGTTGGGCACTTTTGGTTTCATGTTTAACTCTATCATATATGCTTGATTTGATCCCATTATTTATAAGTTCAGTAAAGATATGCCAAAAATAAACTGCCTGGTTATTTTCTTATCACCCATATTCTCTGAAAAGTCGCGGATTGTTAGTAGGCGATTAAACTATCAGAAACTTGTTTTATTGTTATTTGACAGTTTTATTTAAAATTATTTATTGAAAAAATATTATTTTAATTAATAAATATTTATTTTGAAATAATAAATATAGAAAAAATAATAAAAATAAAAAATTAACAAAAAAGAAGGAAAAAAGAAAGGAAAAACGAAAAAATAAGAACAATAAAATAAGAAGAAAATGAAAAAAGAAATAAAAAACGAATAATATAATAAGTGAATAAAGAATTTGAAAAAAATGAAAAGGATTATGTATTTGATCAAGCATTCGATACTCACATGTCAATGTTTATTTAACCCCCCTATAGCTATAAAGGTCATGCTTTCAAAATTAATTTAAGGGCGGCTCTAGCAGGCAATATAACAGATAAGGTGATGCATTATTTATTTAAATAATTTGTAGGCTTGGTTATTTATAGCCCCAATAATTTACTCCATTTATTCATTTCTGATATTCAATAGCAAAGTTAATAATTTACTGCTTCCTTTAGAGAAAAATTTTTAAAAGCATATATCTCCGAAATCGCAAACTTATAGGCCTAAGAAAACAAAACAAACTAAATTTACTTTTTTGGCCGGGTTTTAATAAATTAAATTGAAAGTTGCGAATCTCCACCTATGCCCACTATCAAATCCCTATGTTCGAGTTATCCTCGACTGGGAATAATTAAATATTTTCAATAATTTCAGAGCAAAGCCTTTAGTAAGGTAAAGCTTTATTATTAGGGCAAATCATTAGAATATGCTTTACTCGCCCAAATGGATTTGGGCGAGTAAAGCCGATATCCTCCTTAACCCGATATCCTCCTTAGGCCGATATCCTCCTTAACCCGATATCCTCCTTAACCCTCTATGTCCCCTTAATCTTTCAATAACTCTCGATATCCGTAATATTTGCTCAAATCCCTCGATGTTCTTTTTAACACCTTGATAATATTTGCGGTTCTTGATTTCGATTGCGATTTTTTAAACACCATAATTAGCCGCTTTACAATTTTATATTTTAATTAAGCTTTGAAAATAAAAATTTCAATTCTGATAGTCGATTTCCGGCGTTTTTTTCCTCCGATTTCCGATTCCCAAAAAAATTTGATTGCGGATTTCCAACTTTTGAGCCAGTTCCGATTTCCGGCTCTTGCGATTTCCGATACCTCTGACTGATCCACCCACATCTTGCAAAATCTACCAATTAATTATTAAATATACGATTTATACGATTTAAGGTATATTTTAAAACAGTGTATGGGTTACTTGCATCATTTGTATAAAACTTAAAAGAATAAGCCGAGGAAATGTAAAGAAATTTTTATAAATTAATTTTTCCTCGCTAATTTCCCATATTAAATAAGTCACAAGTGCAAAGAAGATTATGAAATAAATTTTATAAACAAATAATATTTTTTCCAAGAAATAAATAAAAATTTAAATTTCAGAATTTAAAAGCTTTTGAAATTAAGTGATCATTGTGGGTCGTGGGTTTCATGTTGGACATATAAATAACGTTCAAGCACAAACCTCGCTGAATGGATTCATAGGATCAGATGAAATTTGCTGTTTCAAAGCCTTCATAATTTAAGTCTGTTGTTTTAAATTAAATGTTTTCTGACGGTCAAGACTGAAAATACCCGTTTTTCAAAAAAATGTTCTTGAAATTCAAGGCATATATGCATACAAAACATGGTTTGCTGAACTTTCTAAAGGTGATGAGGACACGCACAAGAGAGATCTCAAAACAAGAATAATTTTCGAATAATTATTTGCTGCTAAATTGAGTGGACGATCATGATCTATCGTAAATATTACCACTATAATCAAAACAGAAAATTTAAAGAAGACATTCTGAAATAACGGGATGCAAAGCGGGATTATTATTTCTGACCGACATGAGATTCTCATGCTTACTTTATCCCACAAATCAAACTCAATAGTTGAACTTAGAAACTTTTATAAAATTAAATTTGCTTTTTGACATTTATTTATTTTTTTAAATAAATATTATTTTTATAAAATTTATTTACTAAAATTTATTTCTAAATTTTTTGCACTTGTGAATTATTTAATATGGTAAAATTAGCGAGGAAAAATTAATTGACAAAAATTTATTAAAAATCCCTCGGCTTATTCTTTTATGTTTTATACAAACGACGCAAGTAACCCACTCACTGTATTTAAATATACATTATATCGTATGAATCGTATATTTAATTATTAATTGGTAAATTTCAAAAACATCAAAGTGCTTTCAATAATCCATTAACCTGTAAATAAATAGACATTTTAAGAGAATACAATCATTTTTATTTTTTTAAATTTTTTTAGATTATTAATTTCGTTAAAATTCGCCGATTGAAACTATTTTTTAATATTTAGTTAAATTGAATTTTTAATTTCAAACAGAATGTCAAAATCATTCAAAATCCTGTTCTTTTTAACATTAATTCTATTACTGCTTTCAAGCACACATGGTGGAGGGCGTAGTGGAAGAAGAGGGCGAGGTGTACATAAAGGGGGTAATGGATCTCCAAGTTCAGGCGGTGTCGGATCTCGTACTGATGATCTAGATCCACCCTCAACATCATATAGTGAAAGTAGTGAATCTCAAAGTTCAGGTGGCGTTGGATTAAGTGTGAATGATATTGCAATTTTACTTTCAAATTCGATTATTGGAGAGCGTAATAGTGTTGTTTTTTCATCTTCCACAAATGCAGAAGATTTACATCGGTAAGGGCAACATACATATGTCAATGCATACACACTTCTTTGCTTATATGAATTAAAAAAAATCACAGTCACAAACACTCTCGTTAAATGGATTTATAAGGGTGCGCAAAGCCGAGTTCAATCCTGCCCAATAAACCTATCCAAAATTCACAATTTCCTAACCTTCTAAAATTTGTGTTTACTTTGGAAAGCTAAACAGTAAAACTTTTTTATTTTTAGAGCTGCAGGCTAACGAATAGTAAAAGAATTTTGCATAATCTCGAACCCTTATAAATTTATAAATTCGATAATAATTAATAAAATCCAAGATATTCAATTAAAATTAAATAGGACAATTCTAAAATTAAAATTATCTCTTTTTTAAGTTTATATAGCGGCGCCGATAAATCAAGTGAATTATATAAAAGTCTTGTTCAGCTGTTTGACAAATATAGCACACAGACTGTTGCGGATTTCAATAAATATTACAATTGTTATGTTTACTATAATGATCGTATTGATAAGAAAAATATTAATATTAAGAGCAAGGTTAATTAAATATTAGGGTTATTTTATATGGTTTTTGGTTTGGAATTTCTTGAATCTCTTATGATTTTAAATTTTTTATTACCTGTAAAACAGCCATATTAATTCTTGTTACTTGATTTTGAGTCAGCCAACTCACCTCGAGGAGCTCTTTCGAATGAGCTATCATTTATTTCGAATTCTTTACACCAAAAATATGGTTTTTATGGTTTTTCGATTTTCAACGGCTTGTATCTTTGCGAGTTTTTGTTCGTATAAAAAAGTGATTATACGTATATTCCAACTCTGCTAGGGGAGAGGAATCTAATCTTTAACATATAAATACACAATATTTTAAGTTATTTTAGTATATGGAAATTATAGAAGATAAATTAAAAAGTGAAAATAAATCAAATGGCCAAATTAAAAAGGAAATACGTCAAATGAATTTGGATGGAACGCTAGCAAAAACAGTCTCTGATTACTGTTTTAGCATTGCAAATGCAATTATGAAAAATATTGAGTCTAATGCTAAGGTAAATCGAAGTATAGATTTGTGTTAGAGTGTGGAAAATTATTATCACCGAGCAAATAAATTTTACGATAAAGCTTGAAATTCATTAAATACAGTAACTGTTTAGAATTTGTTGAGGAATATTAAATAGATTACATTTCTGTGTAAATAACAAACAGAATATTTTTTGCATTAATGGTTATTTTGGTGGCGGGTTATTTATGAGCGTGTAATATTATAGAGTTATGCCTATTTCAAAATTCCTCTTTCAAATAATCACTCAAAGTTAATTTAAGGGAGTTTTCTGTACCAGACTAATGGTGACTCATAGAAAAACAAAAAATAGAAATAAAATCTTTAAAAAATGTAAATCTAAAATAACCGCAAATATATTGTTCCTTACCATTGAATTTTATAGTGAAATAATATAATCTTTTATTAAAAATTTGTTTTTGTTATAGAAAGAAATGATGGAGATCACAATGAAAGCAGCAGTAAAAAGTGATCAAACACATTGTCCTATCTGTAAAAAAGTCTATGACTTAGAAGATATGATTAAAAGTGAAGATTTTATTGAAACGAGTGATTGTGAGAATAAACACTTATACCACTTCTTCCATCGGAATTGTAAATTGATTCAAAATGACCAATCTACAATCGATCAGAATTGTCCAACATGTGAGGAAAAACTGAACATAGTTTTCCTTCCAAAAGCTAATAAAATAAACGAGAAATTAGGAAAAATTGCTTGGGGTACGAGTTTACAAGAGTTAAAAAATCGTTACGAAAACTGAAAGGTCAGTTACAAGATTCTTTATGTATTATTTTTTATTTTGATTTCCTATTACTAATTTTACTCAAATTGAGAAAGAAAAAAGAAAAAATTCAAAAAAATCCTAAAAATTCAAAAAAACTAACCCAAAAAACATCGAAAAAATTCAAAAAAATTTTTAAACAAAAAAGCAAACAAAATTTTAAAAAAATCGCAAAAAGAACAAAAAAACGCACAAAAATTCAAAAAATCAAAAGAATTTCCCAAAAAAACTTGTATTTCTTTCTAACTATTTAAAATCTATTTTTCTTTCCTATTTTCATTCTTTTGTAAATTTTAAATATTTAATCTTTGTATAAAATATTTCGGGGAATTGTTTTGTGTATTTGTATATTTAAAACTTGGTGATTAGAAAGAGTATTGACCAACATTACAAAATTATAATTAAATTCACGAAATATTAAAATTTCGGTGGCTTTTCCAAACCTATTCTCCTAAAGGCTTCTTTTTCAAAAAATGTTTTAACAGTCTTAAATGAAAATAAAATTGTTAAATTAAATTCTTACTCATCAATCCCTATAAGATAATGCAAAATTTGTCAGAGAATCTTTTCATTTCTTGATAAACCTATGTTTATAATTTTAATTATCAAACATGTATATCAACATTTTTAGACATTTTATATTAAACATACATATTAAATTAGTATATGTCGGCGGTAAAATTCAGATTTAGGAAAAATTCAATTTTTCCGGAAAATTTCAATTTTTCCGGAAAAATTCAATTTTTCCGAGCATTTAGGAAAATTTCAGATATTAAATTAATTTAATAGCCTGTCTTACACTATTTCGCTTGTTTTTCGTTTTTTGAGTATGTTTTTTCTTGTTTGTTTTTCTTTTGTTTTATGTTTGTTTTTTTGTTGTTTGTCCTTTTTAAGATTTTCCCTTGTTTTTATTTTTTATTTTGGGTTTTAGTTCGTGCTTTTTAATTTTTGTGCTACAACTGAATGGGTAGGTCGGCATTTCAATGCTGAAAATCGGTCAAAGGAATAGGTTTACGTTACTGTTGTAGAACCCAGCGACCGTTGACTCCCGCGAGACGCGTGCCGCGAAACCCCGCGCGAAGCGCGGGGTTTCGCACAAGCGTCTCGCCGACTCCCCATAGGTTTATGTTGTTGTTTTTCGTGTGTTTTCTAAAAATCCAAACTTATTTAATATGGTGCTCTTGACTAAATCAAGAAATTTATAGATAACCCACTAAAAAACAAAAACACACATAAAAACGCAAAAAAACATAAAACTAGCCCAGACTCAACTGACATCTTTATTATTATCTGAAATTTTCCTAAATGCTCGGAAAAATTGAATTTTTCCGGAAAAATTGAAATTTTCCGGAAAAATTGAATTTTTCCTAAATCTGAATTTTTCCGCCGACTCTGGATTGAGTTGTTCTAATATTATGAAATATTATTTATATACCTATGTAAAATTCGGCAAAATATTTTTTGTAGCACATCTGCTTTATTTCAAATCCCAGTTCCCAGGAGTTGAAGGATTGAAGAAATGAGTAAATATAAGATTTAAAAATAAAAGAAAATTTATAAAAATTTCATTAAAATAAAACACCTAACTGCAACCTAAATTTAATTTATCCGTTTTTCCTTCCTATAAATTTCATTTGTAAACTTTGCTAAATTAAAAGACTTTGCCATAAAAAAGAAATACATAAAGAGGAAGGTTAATAATCGTAGGCTAATAAATTCTGACTTCTCTATAAGATACAGTAGTGTGTAGTGATTCGGTGTTACATTTATGAACGTTAATAGAAATTACGGAGGTCATAACATATGGAGATCTAATGATTGCACAGATTGAATTAATTATAAATATAAATAAATATCTGGATAAATATTATTCATTTTATTGAGAATATTTAATGATTTTGTCCATTTTCTTGATTAAAAATTGATTAAAATATTTTTACTCTAATAGAGGGACCGGATGTTATAATTTTTAATTATCATGGGTCGGTTATGTAGACGGCTTAATTAAAGCCTTCTATAATTAGCTCGCTGTTATAGAAAGTTACTTTTTAAATTATAAATCTGGTCAATATTGTTTGGTCTTTTCCATATTTCTGGCATTTTAACAATAACCAAATTTAAATATAAATACACAAAACAATTCCCCGAAATATTTTATACATATTTAAAATTTACAAAAGAATAAAAATAGGAAAGAAAAATAGATTTTACATTGACAGAATTAAATAAAAGTTTTTTGGGGATCTTTTTTTGAGTTTTTTGTGTTTCTTGGTTTTTTTGGATTTTATTTTTTTGTTTTTTTTGTAGATTTTTTCTTTTAATGATTTTTTTGGATTTTCTAAGATTTTGTTTGTTCTCAAGTTTTAAATATAACCTAATAGACTGAATTTCATTTTTTAAAATTAAATACAGATTTTTAAATTTTACTGCTAACCCTCTATGACTTAAGTGATATAAGATAATATCTAGTAATATTCCAGTTTGTGAATGACATATTTTTTCACTTTATTTCACTGAATAGTGAAAATAGATCTATAATGTCTCAAACAAACAAGATTTTCGACATCATGAGGATACCTTAAATTTATGTCCGATTTTATAATTTAAACAACTTATTTTAGTACTTTTAGATGAAATTCAGTCAAAACAATGGGAAACAACAAAATTTCTCCCACAATGTTTTTTTTCTGACAACAAATTTCCCTTCAAATTCAAGTTCAATAATTTTTAGTTTCTCGTTTAATTCATAACCTTTTTTATCTGTAATGAATTCAAGTTCTGCGCGACATAATGGACAAGAATTATTTACACCTCCTGTATCTACACAATCCCAATGGAAGAAATGATTACATTTAGTCCATACGATGAATTTATCGTGTGTAAATTTATCATGACAGATTTCGCATTCTGTTTTATCCTTATTCTTGGCTTCGTCAAGCCCGAATTGCAATATTCTTTTCTTAAAAAAGATTAGTTAATGTTTTGTAATTAAAGAAGAAACTCGGGATTGAGTTATCAAAATATAATAAATTCTATTTAATATATGCCAAATCAAGCTAAGAAAATGCTAAATTTGTTATAATTGCAAAAAGTTAAAAATACATTGTATCAAATCAAAATTAGTAGAGAAATATTTGGACAGCTTAATCCAAAAGCTACTGGGTATTTTCTAGTGCATTTATTATTTTATGCAGAATAAATTATATTATGCATTGTGTATATTCATCTAAGACAAATATTTTAAAATAGAACTCAAAAAAACTTTTTCCGTATTTACTCAGATAAGTACCCAATCCAGTTAGCTTTAATAATTACACAGGGTACTTATTTGAATAAACAACTCAATAATTAATTTTCTCAATAATAACCTAATTTGAATCTTAATAATTTTGACAAATGAAACTTTACTATAAACTCACTCCGCATTTTTTTTTAATTTCTCCACATGTTTCTAAATGATACTTTAGACAATATGTTTTAATTTCATTAAAGGCAGACTCATCTTCCATCATTTCATTTTTTGTCTGTTCTAAATTATTCCCCGAAATTCCTTGTTTTGACAATGATTTTTCTAGATATTTCAAACACTAAAATAATTTAAATTAGTATAATATATACTAACTGAAATAACTAGAAATTAGAAGGACACAGGGCGGTCCTTTTACCTTATTGAGAATTTTCCCTATTTTGGCCTCCTCTTTTGATGGAGCTTTATTCTCACCGATACAAGGTAGTGAACGTTTTTATTTTATATAAAATATTAATAATTGAAAACCTCTTCAGGAATGTTAATAGTTTTGTCAAGTTTTTTTTGAGTAAGTTCTTGCATGTTGACAAAACAATTGAAACATTCAATGTATTTAGTAACATCTTTTGATGCAGTATATTCTCTAATCAATTCCTCACGAACACGTTGTATATTTAAACTTGAAGTTTCCCCATGCGCACTACGACTTGAAGATCCAACCTCATTTGCTCCAATAACACCAGCTCCAACGCCGCGAGCTCCATCATGTCTTGAATCTGAAGGTTGACCCTGCCCACCACGTTCTATACGTCCACCATGCCCTGCACCACTTGAAGTTGAAAGTAAAATTAGAATAAATGTTAAATAAAAAAGAAAGTTGGATGATTTTGACATTTATAATTACTGAAAAATTCAAAATTTTAAATAAAACTATAGAAGAAGATCATTTTAATGATGAAAAGTTTTGAATCTACAAACAAAACCCTTTTTTCTATAGAACTGGCACAACATAAACACCTAAAAATGTGTTTTACCATAGCCGAAGTGTTTAGTAGTAAATCTTATGCAGCATAAAAAGAATCTCTTGCTACTTCTGCACTGTTAGACTTGTCTATTAAGTATGTAATAGATGTAATGTTTTGGACCCCTCTTTAGGTGCGACGATTCTCTAGGCACTGAAGTGCCTGTGGACCGAGATATACTCGAAAGTAGAAAATATATACAAATTAGTTTATAGAAGCAGCTGATTTTCACTTTAATTTTTATTATTTTCTCTTCTTCCTTTCATTATGTCAAAAGGCAGAATATAAAAGCAAAGATTGCCGAGAACTTTTCCATTAAACGGGCATTTTTTCTAACGGCAAAAATGAAAAGAAAAGAAAAGAAAAGTGCCATTCTCTTTGCGGACATGTAGTGAGTCAACTGGACATTTACCATTCGCAAGTTATCTAATTTTGATTGTCTTATCAATGTAAACAGAGTTTTTAAAATGAGCACAGAGTATTTTAAACTAGGTTCCTAAACAGTTACAATAAGTCTTCCATTCAAGGGTCGACGCAATTGCGGAATTTTTCATCACAAAAATCTGCTTGGTCGCCCCTCTAGTTTTAGTTTTTCTTAGGCCTATAGGTTTGAGATTTCGGAGATATTTGCTTTTAAAAATTTTTAACTCTATAGGAAGACAGAAAATTATTAACTTGTGATTTAATATAAGAAATGAATAAAATGGAGTAAATTATTGGCTATATATAACTTTCCAACAAACTTTTTAAATAAATATTGCATCACATTATCATTATATTGCCTGATAGAGCCGCCCTTATTATAAAAAATTTTGAAAGCATGACCTTTATAACTATAGGGCAGCCAAATAAACATTAGCATGTGAGTATCGAATGTTTGATCAAATACATAATCCTTTTCCTTTTTTACAATTTATTTATTCACTTCTTATTTTCTTCTTTTTTTTTCCTTTTTTCAATTTCTTCTTATTTTATGTTCTTTGCCGTTTTTCCTTTCTTTTTTCTTCTTTTTTTGTTAATTTTTTTATTTTTTTTTGATTTATTATTATTTCGAAATATTTATTTATTAAAAAAATATTTTTTTCTTTGAATAATCTTAAATAAAACTGTCAAATAAACAATAAAAACAAGTTTCTTATAGTTTAATCGCTTATTAACTGTCCGTGACTTTTTAAAGCATACGGGTGCTAAGAAAGTAACCAGTCAGTTTATTCTTATTTATCGTGTAACTCGCTGCGCGTTTCTGCGACATTTTATTAATTTTAGAAGTTTGTTCATGTTTTTATTTTTTTATTTTTTGTTAGTTATACTAATCCGGAAACCACAGTAAACATCTTCCACCTTTAGGTGGCATTTGCCCCTTCCAAATATAATTTTGTAAGAAATCCACTAGAATTCAATTCATTAAACATTTATTTGAAAAAATATTTCATAATTATACACGTGAAATAAATATGTGAATATTAGATTATAATCTACAAAATGAGGCTATCATTATAAAGAGAAGAGCTAGAAATCATTCAAGAAAAACTCAAGGGAGTTCAACTAAAAATTTACTTGAACATAATTTTTAAGCATCATTTTTGTGTATTCATTTTTGATAATATGTACAAAATTTTGTTTGTAGAGCTCAGATTTTTAGGTTATAACAAGGATTAGGATTTATATAGAGTATTAATCTTATATACTTTATGGAATACAAGTCTTAGAATTTGAACTGGAATTGGTCTAAAATTCAAAACAATAAAGTTATCCTTCCTTGTCCTCGATATCTACCAAATTTGCTATTGTCATCCAATTTAACAATATCGCTCATAACAACAGTTTTGCAAACCAAAAAGTGAAAGAAGTGACTCAAAGTGGATGGATGAGTCTTAACATTGGGGAAGTCATGAGGATGAAAGCCCAAGCTTAAACCCATATAAAGGGAGTCGAAAGGGCAGAAGGCCCGAGTATATACACATCTAATAAGAGCTGTGTGGGCCAGTGACATAAGTTGCTGATCATGAGTAACAAACACCAACCCATAATCACCTATTTATATTATATTCCAAAATATTTGAAAAATTTGATATTTGAACAAATATTTGACTCTGTTGATCAAATTTTTTCAAATATCAAATATAATTATCAAATTATTTGATTAGATTTTGATTTTGCTGTAGGTCCGATCTCTAATAGTTGTACTGAATGAATTAAAAATATAAAAAGGTATTTGAATAAATATTCATTTTATTGCGAATATTTAATGATTTTGTCCAGTTTCTTGATTAAACATTGATTAAACTATTTTTACACTAATAGAGGGCCCGAATTTTATAATTTTTAATCCCCTATAAATGGTCAGTTATGGAGACGGCTTAATTAAAGCCTGTCTATAATTAGCTCGCTGTTAAAGATACGTTGTAAATTAGAAAGCTGGTCGATATTTTTCTATCTTTTCCATATTAACAATACCCAAACCTTAAAAATATAAAATCAAAACAATTCCCCGAAATATTTTATACATACAAAAGATTAAATATTTAAAATTTACAAAAGAATGAAAATAGAAAAGAAAAATAGATTTTAAATAGACTGAATTAAATAAAAGTTTTTTGGGGAATCTTTTTTTGGATTTTTTGTTTTTTGGTTTTTTTGGATTTTGTTTTTTTTGTTTGTTTTTTTTTATTTTCCAAAAATTTAGTTTTTTTTATTTTGAGTTTTTAATTTTTGTTTGTTTTTTTTTATTTTTTATTTTTAAAATTTTTTTGGATTTTTAAATTTAGAAAAATTCTTACTTAATAGAGAAAGATTACTAATAAATAGGGTGCGGCAAAATATGCACGAAAAATCCAAAAATATGCGCATATATATGCATTGAAAATGCCTAAATATGCACTAAAATAAGCAAAATTTCCCAAAATATGCTGCGATATGCAAATATGCACAAAAGTACCGAAATATGCAAAAATATGCTATAGGAACCCGGTCCCTAATGTTCGTAACGATGTAAAAACACCATTTTTGAACGTTTCAACTCATGGCATATCCGGATACAAAATATGCATTTGCATGTTTTGCCGCATCCTGCTATTAAAAAATTAAAATGAAAAATAAATAATAAAAAATAATCCTTAACTAATCATCTGAAAATGAGTAAAGTTCTTTTTTTTCGAAACCGAGATCAATGCTATCTAATTTCTCATATAATAGTGCAACCTCTTGAGGGACAAAAATCTGCAGTTGACGTTTACATACTGGGCATTTTTTAGTTTCACCTTGGCCCTCTTCAACCCAATTTACAATACAATCCTGATGGTAGGTGTGATGATAAATTATTTTGGTTTTCTTATCTTCACAATTAGTGATTTCAATACACTCCTCTTCTGTATATTCTTCTTGACAGATTGAGCATTTTGTTTGCCCTATATTTTTAGCATAGTCAAATACCATTTTTCTTTTTGCCATCTAAAACGAGATTAAAATGAAAATTTCTAGATAAAGATATGAAGAAAAAAATTTTTTTATAAACTTCCAAAAAATTTTTAATAATTTTTTGAAAATTTAATTAATTTTTTTATTGGTCTGGGGTGAGTAAATTCGTTATAGAAGTCAAAATATCTCATTAGTTTTTAAATATGCAATTTTTGCAAATTTTTTCAATATTTTAAATAGCAGGATGTCAGACTTCTAGTATCTTTAGCGCGGCAGAAAGAATTTTTAAAATTTTGAAGGTACAAGACCACTCTTCTATTTTCACGCCTTCTATTTTCAGCGCCGCATAATAATTCTTCCATCATAACAGAAGAAATTATTATTAAATTTTTGCGCCGCAGACAAAAATTGTTTAAATTTCATGCTCCAAAAGCTAGAATTCCTTCTTTTTCAAATTATTGCAAGCTTTCGAAAATCGAAATACCGTATTTATTTTAATTGAATGGCCCCTCCATTTGAATGGCCCTCCAATTGAATGACACATTTTTGAATGAATGAAAAATAGAATGGCCATTTCCATTTGAATGGCCCCCCAATTGAATGGCCCTTTCTAACTATAAACTATCTAACGCGTATTTCTTTAATCCCTTTATTGACTAATTTAATATTCCTTTTCTGTACGGATAATTTTGATATTTTTGCGTAGGTTTGGAGTCAAAAAGTGATTAAAAGGGATATCGGTGGATTTGGGAGGATTAAGAGAGATATCAATCGATCAAAAGTATTTGGAGAAAACATCTGGAATTAAAATAATTAGGGGAGATATTCAGGGATTCGTTGAACAAGAGAGTTTAGAGAGTTTAGAGGGTTTTTGGATTTCTGAGTGATATCGAGGATTTGGAGGATTTCGGGGAGTTGAGGAGATGTAGGATAACGTGGATACTAGTTAACTTGAGTCTTATCAGGAAATATTGATTTCCAAATCCCAATAAATCCTCTGTCTCATAAAATCTCCCTGATATCAATTTAATACCTTCAAAATCCCTCTAAATACTCTTTATCCCTCTATATCTTGCCCAATTAACTCAAAACCATAAACTATTAGTATAACTATACAGGAACTTTTTATTTTTTGACTTCGATGTTAATTAAAATTTGACTTATTAGCCAGGCAGGCATAAAACCTACGAGTTTTATAGTGAAACTGAGAGAAAAAATTTCGGATTTGGAAAATATTAGGTCGAATATTCGTTTCAATTAATCTCTATTTTTAACCTATGAAAAATAGAATGGCCACCTCTATTTGAATGGCCCCTCCAATTGAATGACAATTTTTTGGGGTATCGAAAAATAGAATGGCGGCCATTCTATTAGAATAAATACGGTATATCCAAAAAGTCGAAATCGAAAGAAAAACCTTTCGAAAATTGAAATTTAGAAATAATTCTGCTGTAA